GGCCGAGGTGGGTGTCCCCCTCCAGACACGTCTCCCCAGACACCCCACAGACCTCTCTTCATCCCCCCTTCAGACCCGCTCCCCTCATGGGTTTCCCTTTGGGGGCCCCCCAAAGCCACCTGTTCTATTTTCTTTGCCTCCAGCTGCAGCAGAGGTGCTCGTGACACCTCCCTTTCCACCGTTTGAACGTTTCTCAGACTTTTCTTTCTCCGGCCACCGCCTGACTCCAGGCAGTCATCACATACTGGGGCGTCCGGGGCCACTGCAGCGGCCGCCCCCTGGTCTGTGTCACCAGGGCACCTCTCCCCGCACTGACTGCCAGGCTGGCGTTTTTGAAGGAAATCGTCATCGTGTCACTCCTCTGTGTCTCTTCAATGACCCAAAGGTTCTGCATTTTAAATATATGCATGTGTATAATGTATGTGTGTGTGTGTGTGTACACATATAATGTATATGCGCATATTTATGTAGTGTACACACACACGTAGATGTATACATATATACATTTATATACAATGTAACTGTCCATGATATAGACACACACCTGCACGCACCTGTACACACCTGCACACGCCTGTACACACCTGCACACACCTGCACGCACCTGTACACACCTGCACACACCTGCACGCCCCTGTACACACCTGCACACACCTGCACGCACCTGCACGCCCCTGTACACACCTGCACGCCCCTGTACACACCTGCACGCCCCTGTACGCAGCTGCGGTCACCTGCACGCACCTNACACACCTGCACGCACCTGCACACACCTGCACGCCCCTGTACGCAGCTGCGGTCACCCGCACGCACCCGTACCGACCCGGCAAATGAGCCCCACAGCCTCTGTGGTGAGGTAACCTACTTTTTTGCAGTTGTCAGATTGTTAGGGAAAATGCCAGAAGGACACACATGAAACATTAAAACCGCTTGTCTAAAATATCCTATGATTTTGCTTATATGTGGATTCAAAACAAAACAATATAAATGGACAAACAGAACAGAAACAGGCTCACAGACAGAGAGCACGCTGACGGCTGCCGCGTGGGGGGGCTGGGGGACTGGAGGGAAGAGGTGAGGAGGTGGAGGGGTGCAGGCTGGGGGGAGCAGTGGGGTCACGGGGTGTGACGACAGCAGAGGCAGGGCGGCCGATAATATTATGAGAACTGTGGATGGGGCGGGGTTATCGGGGGTCACTTTGAAGTTATATAAATGCCTAATCGCTTTGCGGTACCTGAAACTAATATAGAATAACATTGAATGTCAACTGTAATTGAAAAATAAAAACTAAAAGTTACTATTGAAAACAAACAAAAAACTAAATAGAAACTGCTGTCTACAGGCTGAGATTACAGGCGATTGATTTACGTGCCCTGTGTCCCTGCTCCTGTATCTTCCGAAGGTCCCCAGTCACTTCAGGGCCGGAAACAGACCCTGACCCTTTTCTTCTCATTGTTCCTTTGTTTGTTTTTGAATGGAATCGATTGGGGTGACGTTGGCTGAGCCCAGTTTTTAAAGTCGCGGCGGACAGGAGGCAGGTCTCCCAAGAGGCTGGCAGTTGGCAGGAAGTTTCCAGACGAGCAGAGTGAACTTTCTGGTGCCAATTTAGCGGCTCCACTGGCAGAAAGTGGCCTCCGCTCTGGGGCTCATTAAATCGGCGTCAAGCAGCCTCGCAGGGACCCGGCCGGTGACAGCGGCTCTTCCTCTCCCTGGCGGCTGTGTAATTGGGATAATTAATCCTGCTGGAGGCTGGCGGGGACACGGCGGGGCGCGGGGAAGAGGCTTCGGGGAATAAATTAATCTGAACCCATTCGAGGGAACTAGAACTTTGCAATTGCGAGAGGCCACTCAGGGCTGTGGGGAGACAGGACCCACCGGGACGGCCGCCAGGCTGTTGTTTTCCTGAGTGACGACGGGGCCGCTGGCGGGTCCTGATTCTCTGGGGTGACCTGCAGGCTTCTCCCCATGTCAGCAGCTCATTTCTCCTCCCCCGCCCCCGCCCCAGGTTCTCGGGCTCAGGACCTACACCCCTGAAATCTGGGTGAGATACCACCCACTGCGTGTTTTCACCAACAAGGAGTCGCCGCCAACAAGCTTTGTAAACAAAGTGGAAGCACCGGCGCCGTTTCCAGAGGTGGCAGCGANGGGTGAGATACCACCCACTGCGTGTTTTCACCAACAAGGAGTCGCCGCCAACAAGCTTTGTAACCGAAGTGGAAGCACCTGCGCCGTTTCCAGAGGCGGCAGCGCCCGAAACGCAGAGACACCTGCACGTTTCTTTCCCTTTCTTCCCCCTCAGCAACCCTGGTCCCAGTGTGGTGTAGCCCCTGTGCCACGCGTGATGCACGCGCCTACCTGCACACGCCTGCAGAAACCTGCACACACATGTATACACCCGCACACACCTGCAGAAACCTGCACACACATGTATACACCCGCACACACCTGCAGAAACCTGCACACACCCGCACACGCCTGCAGAAACCTGCACACACCTCTACACACCCGCACACACCTGCAGAAACCTGCACACACCTCTACACACCCGCACACACCTGCAGAAACCTGCACACACCTGCACACACCTGTACCCACCAAGCAAGTGCCCCACTGGTCTCTGTGGTTAAGTGACCTGCTTTCTTTCAAAGCAGCAGGTAAAGGTCTGTCCTGTTCTCCCTCAGGGACGACGTGCCTTCGCCCTCCGACGTCCACGGTGTTATCCATTCACTCCTTCAAAATTCATGGGGCTCAGGGCACATGTGGGCACAGTGTCAGCACCTGGGGGTGTGGTTGTAAAGAAAACGTCATCAAAGCCACATTCCAATGGGACTTTTGGTGGAATTTATTAGGTAGATTCTAACGTTCACATGGAAGAGAAATGCACACACGTGAACTGAAGTGAGAACCAACGACGAGGCGGACGCCTGCAGGGCCCCAGCGCAGCCCCCGAGTGTGCGGGGGAGGGGGGGGGACACGTGCCCACGCCCGCGGGGAATCCCGTGCACAACCAAAGGTCACATTCTGCCACTTAAATGTCCACGAACAGTTAGAGAGAATGTTATGTCTACACACGGGAATAGCGCTTGGGTGGAGGTGCTCAAGGGGGCGACCTGTGTAACAGTGTCAACAATACAAGAATTTTTAAATTTTTTTGAAACTGTGAAACGTATATAAAAAGAAGAAATAAGAGAATTACTAAAGCTGTGCACACTAAGTTTTGAAAATTGCTATCACAGTCATAACTTTCTGTCACTCTGCAGTCCTAGGTCAATAAAGTTATAAAGGAAATAGCAACTGGTTTAAAACCATCTAGTGGCACCTATTCGAAGGCCGTTGCTGCTGCCTGGTGGGTAATTGCGGTAATAACTGTTTAAATGAGCTCTAAAATCAACAGTTGCAACTTAACAGTTTAAAAATGTTCGGCCCTGCCCTGGCCGCTGTTGCTCAGTGGTTAGAGCATCCACCCTCAGACTGCAGGGTCCCGGGTTCGGCTCTGGCCGAGGGCACGTACCTGGGTTGCAGGCTCGATCCCCGGCCCCGGTCGGGGTGCGTGCGAGAGGCAACCAATTGATGTGTCTCTCACATCGATGTTTCTCTCTCTCTCCCCGCTCCCTTCCTCTCTCTCTGAAAAACAATGGAAAAAATATCCTCAGATGAGAGTAAAAATAAATAATAAATAAATAAAACTAAAATGAAGCAAAACTCTACTCAGCTGCCTCCAGGTGTAAGAACCAGGGATGAGGGGCTGTGGCTGGAGAATCTCAGTATTAAGAGCACCTGGAGGGCTGAGTAAACTCGAGTGCAGGGCCCACGCCTGGGGTTTGTGCCTCGGTAGGTTTTAATTTCCAACAAGTGGCCCAGCTGTGTGGGTGCAGCGGGCTGGGTGTGACAGCTGGAGCGGAGGGAGTGATTGAATTGTCACACGTGACCCACTGCTCCTCCTCCTAAATTCTATTTTTGTTGTTAATTTTCATCGGAGGATATTTTTTCCAGTGATTTCTAAGACAGTGGAAGTGAAGGAGGGAGTGGGTAGGAGANCAGTATTAAGAGCACCTGGAGGGCTGAGTAAACTCGAGTGCAGGGCCCACGCCTGGGGTTTGTGCCTCGGTAGGTTTTAATTTCCAACAAGTGGCCCAGCTGTGTGGGTGCAGCGGGCTGGGTGTGACAGCTGGAGCGGAGGGAGTGATTGAATTGTCACACGTGACCCACTGCTCCTCCTCCTAAATTCTATTTTTGTTGTTAATTTTCATCGGAGGATATTTTTTCCAGTGATTTCTAAGACAGTGGAAGTGAGGGAGGGAGTGGGTAGGAGAGAGAGAAACATGGATGTGAGAGAAACATCGATTGGTTGCCTCCTGCACATGGCCCGACCGGGGCCAGGGAATCGAGCCTGCAACCAAGGTCCGTGCCCTTGACCGGGACCCTTCAGTCCAAGGGCTGACGCTCTAGCCGCTGAGCCAAGCCGGCCAGGGCTCATTGGTTGATTCTCGTATGTGCCCTGACCAGGGATCAAACCTGAAACCTTGGTGTATCGGGATGGTGCTCTAACCAACTGAGCCACCGGCCAGGGCAGAATGTCTGTTTAAAAGATGCCCCCACCCCCAACACACGCTCAGTGAAATGTGAATTTCAGATAATATAATTCGGAGCATCTGCATCTAAAAAATCCTGTGTATCTGACATTCGCCCTTCACTGGGGCTCTGAAGTTAGCCTGGCCACCCCTCTGGCATCGCCCCATTTCACCGGGAAATAAGGGAACGCAGGACAAACAAGGGTAACGGTTGAACTGTGAAATATTTATTGAAACAACCAAAAAAACTGCATTTCATTGAAAGACTTTAAATGGCCCAGAAGACCAGAAATAAAACCTACGATGAAGAAAACGGTTAAGTCCTCGGGAAGCAGAAAACGTAAACCAGTCGGGAAGATGCGCCCTTACGCGACGATCCTGATTCCAACGTACAGAACCCCGTCAGCGCTCAACATGGCATTCGGCTAGTTAATCTCCTTCCTGGGCAGAAGGGACGTGGGATCTTCGGGGGGCCCCGCTGAAATGAGTTTTCTGGTGGCGTTTATAAGTCCCCAGCTGACTGAAGGCCCGGTTACACTCGAGGCATAGGTAGGGCCTCAGGCCAGAATGGGTGCGCAGGTGGACCTTGAGGTTTCCTCGGTGGCTGAAATGCTTGTGGCAGGTGTCGCATCGGTAAGGCCTCTCCTTTGTGTGGACCCTCTCGTGGCCACGCAGCGTGGAGTCGTGGGCGAAAGCCTTCCTGCAGTATGTACAGATGTAGGGCCTCTCGCCCGTGTGGGTGCGCAGGTGGACCTGGAGGTCTGAAGACTGAATGAATCTCTTGGGGCAGACCTGGCACCCAAAGGGCCTCTCTCCCGTGTGTGTTCTCTGGTGAAGCTCCAGCTGAGACCTGTACCCGAATCTCTTCTTGCAGTCCCCACATTCATGCTGCACCTGTCTGTGGGCTTCTTGGCCAGCAGGGCGACCAGCTGGCCCCAGGGTGCTTTGTGCACTGACTGAATTTGACCTGTGTTGTCTCAAGAAGTTTCCTTCGTCCAAGGACGTGGCTCCTTCTTGAGGCACATCTTGGGGAACGGAGGTGTTGCCACCCCTTGTTCTTTTCGGGGGACCTCTTGAATTCCGAGAATATCTTCTTTTCAGATGTTGACTCAAAACACCCGCCTCGGAGACGTGGGTGGAAGGCACATGGGCATCTACATTTTCAGTGCCGATTCCTTCTTGGAGGTTCTCCTCACCCTCTGTCCTCACCGGACCTTCTGAAAGAAGGGATTGGACACGTGACATTTAGTAAAAGAGCATTTTGCACACTACCGAATGCATTTGAACCAATGTGGATGTTGGTTGACAACTTTCCTGTCAACCAACAAACCTGAGAGACCCAAAAGTTGGTGATGGAGAAGGCTTGGCATCGAGAGCCAACTGTCCCCGACAGATGATTATACTGGACGCCCAGCTGGGTACCCAGCACAGGAAATGTCACCAGTTCCTCTGAGGTCCCCATTTCCATGCTCACCAGGCCCCCTTGGAAGCTGAGGCTCTAGAGCTGTAACTGCTGTTGCCTCTTCCCCGTCCCCCATCAGGTCCATCGCCAGCACCTGCGTGGCTCTCACACCGCACAGGTCACCGTTTTCAGGAATGATCTCTGGGGGAAGGACTTCTTGTCCCTGACAACAGACAACCAAGTGTGATTAGGGACATGTCTAAAAATTCTGACGTGGAAAGGTCTGTCCTTTCTTCGCCCCTCACCCATCTCCCTGACCTGAGACTCCCAACTTTCCTAATGGCACAGGTTTGTGGAAATGCCTAGACTTCCACAGGGCCACCCCACCCCATTCCCCCTGATCCCCAAGTATACTGTTAATGTGTACCCACCACACCTTTCAATCAAGCCTACACATTGCAGTTTTTACTTTTTTTTTAAAATCTTCATCCGNACACATTGCAGTTTTTACTTTTTTTTTTAAATCTTCACCCAAGGATCTTTTATTCCATTGGTTTTTAGAGAGAGTGGAAGGGAGACAGACAGACAGAGAGAGAGAAACATTGATGTGAGAGAGATACATTGAATGGTTGCCTCCAGCATGTGCCCTGACCAGGGCCCGGGACTGAACCTGCAACCCAAGTATGTGCCCTTGACCAGGAATCGAACCCGAGACCCCTCAGTGCCTGGGACGACGCTCTAACCACTGAGCCATACGGGCCAGGGGACAGTTTTTACTCTTAGTTCTCCAAGGGCACCTCTCCAGGTCATCTCAACTGCTCCCTGCCCCCACTGTAGAAGCAAAGCAATTGGAGACCCAGGTCTCCTGAGTCATCACTCTTGGTATTTTGGGTTAGGGTTAGTCTTTGTTGTGCAATTAGGATGACAAACAGCAGCCCTGGTCTCTACCCGCTGCATGTCAGTAGCGCCTCCCACCCATCCCCCACTTGGGCAACCAAACAGCGTCTCTGGACATTGGCCTCGGTCTTCTGGGAGGCAAAAGGACTCCCAGAGAAAACCACTCCTTTAAGTGTAAGGAATTGACAATATTCCCACAGCTGGTCCTCAGGCCAATTATCAGGTCATGGAATACCTTTGACGAAAATTAGTTTTGAGTTTACTGGCCTGTGGGGGGCAGACAAAGGTTGGTGAATCTTTATTGTCCACATTGGTTCAGAGATGTCTAGGGATTTAATGCACCCTTAGGATGCATTAATGGGTCCAGTTCTGTCCTGTGTCAAATGTCCCAATCACCGTAGTAGCTATGCCCACCGCTTCCTCGGGCACCTTCTTCCTCCTGTCCCCAGAGATCAGGGCATCACACACTCACCTGGCCCCTGGACATGTCACTGATTCCTGGCTGATTCTCTGGCTCCCGGTTGACCTCCTGGCTGTTCTCGGGATACATCTCTCGGCTGTCCTTGGGATGTATCTCTGCCTCTCTTTTCAAAGATCGGGACTTCATGGACAAGTCCCTCACGTGGCCCATGTCACAGACTTCCCCTTCGGCCATCTGGACATCCGAATTTTGCATAAGGAACTTCTGTCCTTGCATGCTGACTGTGGTCTGTGGGGAGAAAATTAAACAAGATCAAGAACCGGGACGTACCCTGTTCCCCATGCGAATCCTGCCCAGCACTCAGACATCACTGGGGCTACTAGTGTAAAATAGCAACCTCTCTTCCTGGGCAGGCAGCTCGGTTGGTTAGAGGGTCCCCCAGATACACCAGGGTCCCGAAGATTTCNGCTTGGTTGGTTAGAGGGTCCCCCAGATACACCAGGGTCCTGAAGATTTCGGATTCGATCCCTGGTCAGGGCATGTACAAGAACCAATCAATGAATGCATAAGTGGACAACAGATCCATCTCTCTCCCTTTCTCTCTCTCTCTAAAAAAATTGATAAATAAAATAGAAACTTCCCAAGTTGTGGCAACCAAAACATGCCCCAGCATTTGTAANCTAAAAAAATTGATAAATAAAATAGAAACTTCCCAAGTTGTGGCAACCAAAACATGCCCCAACATTTGTAAAGGACTCCCTGGGGTAAAAGGTGCCATCACCCCACCCTGTCCCTGCCTCAGTTTCCTCCCCAGTAAAGCAGAACTGATTCATTATTCTGAGGTCATTGGGAAAGTGAGTCTGGGGACAGGAGAGCAAATGTCTGCAGGTGTCCCTCAGAGGAATGCTAATGTGTACATTTGCCTGCCCTCCCTTCCCCACGCCCATCAGCAGGGCCCTATTCACCCATCTCTTGGGTTTCTCGTTATTTCTCAGCATGTCCTCCAGGTCTTTGCAGCTCTCCACACTCCTCTCCTTGACCAAGACCTGAAGCTCCGGGGGCATGGAGATCATAAACTGCTCCAGCACCAGCTTATCCAAGATCTGCTCCTTGGTGTGCAAGTCTGGCCTCAGCCACAGATAGCAGAGCTCGGACAGTCTCCGAAGGTCCCGGACCGGGTCCGATTTCCCCGAGCTGCTGAAGCCCCTGAAGATCACGTGCCACATCTCGGAGTCCCAGGCTTGCCTTTCAGTAAGGTTTCCATGGGGTGGTACAGGCCGTGGCAGCTCCAAACCCAGGCCTTCCTGGCATCTCCCATGACCCCCTGAACATGCCATATTCACTGGAAAATTCTCCGATATGACTGGAGCAAACTCTTCTTGAAGTCAGCAGCTAATAGCTAAAGGAGGAATTTACTCTGTAATAGATGCAGAATTCTGGGGGGTAGAGAGGAGAGAATGGCATGAGTTTAACCTGTCCATTCACCCTTCCCTCCCCACAATGCTAGACACCACTAACTGGTCCCAAAACAGACAGACTCATAGATACAAGGATTACTGGGGACCCGCTGCCTCCCGCGCGCCCCCTACTGGGCATCCGCTGCCTCCCGCGCGCCCCCTTAAGGGATCCGCTGCCTCCCGCGCGCCCCCTACTGGGGATCCGCTTCCTCCAGTGCGCCCCCTACTGGGCATCCGCTGCCTCCCGCGCGCCCCCTACTGGGGATCCGCTGCCTCCGGCGCGCCCCCTACTGGGGATCCGCTGCCTCCGCCGCGCCCCCTACTGGGGATCCGCTTCCTCCGCCGCGCCCCCTACTGGGGATCCGCTTCCTCNCGCGCGCCCCCTACTGGGGATCCGCTTCCTCCAGTGCGCCCCCTACTGGGGACCCGCTTCCTCCCGTGCACCCCCGCTGGGGATCGAGCCTGCATCCCGGGCACGTGCCTGGCGTGGAATCCAACCGGGCCTCATGCACCGTGCACCGCATGAGGCCCAACCAACTGTGCCACACGGGCCAGGCTGGCGCATCCTTATTGCTCCGAGCGGTCAATGCCTAAAGCAGTGCTCCTCCTGCAGGGGCCCCTCCCCCAGCCTCGGACACATTTGACGATGTCTGAAGACATTTTTGGTTGTCACAACTGGGCGTGGGGGAGGGAGGAGGGAAGCTCTGCGGAACACCCTCGGATACACAGGACAGCCCCCTCCCCCCCAAAGAAATAAAAATAAAAATGGATCCCGCCCAAAATGCAACAGTGCGGGGACTGAACACGCCTGGTTTAAAATATAAACCACACCACGCGTGCATTAACCACGCGTTATACAAGGAGTCCAAGTGTATGGGGTACAGAGCGGGGTCCCTTGTTTTCACAGGATCCCAGAAATGCACAGCGAACGTGGACCCGAATCTTTCTGAAACCAGCCTCCGCGCATCCTCACTCCCAAAATTCCCGTCCCCATTTCCCGGCGCCCGGGCCCTCGGACTCCCGCAGCCTCACTTACCGCCTGCGCGCC